CATCCCTCCCACCCCCTAATTACTTACCCAGTATGGCGTCGTGGCCTTGACGTGCCATGGCTAAATACTAAATAGCTGCGAACGTCAGCCTGGTTTCCTGCTAATATGTCAGCGACATGCCATGTGTCGTCAATGTTTCCAGGAAGCTATCATAAAAAGTATGTGTCTCTGCTGCGTGGGCTATCCCTGATTCCATCATCAACCACTCCCTCTCTTAGCATGTCCCATATGCAATGTGGGACGTACACCTGCTGCAATCACAGTCGGATCTCCTTTATCCCTGTCAAATGGACAACATATGTAGCAGCCTGAGGAGGAAAATAGACTATCATATGCACCACCTACAGACCGTTGTACTGAAAGGTTATCACCACCAGGGCGAGCTGTTGCACACCAGATCTTGTAGCAGCTAAGCACCCTGGCTTTGGATCAATCCCCGTCGCCGTATGCCCATAGAGAGGGAATAACCCCTGGGGAAACCCATGAAACCCGCTCAATGTCGCTCTGTGATGACTCACCTGAGACTCAGCTAGCATGTGAGTTACATGCCTTGTACCATGAGGATTATGAAGGGATAGCCCATGCGAGTTCTTGTTTTCATATGTGCGATGATAGTCAATACTGCACTTTTCTACAGCACCTGGACATGTCATGTCCAATTTGTAGACACGGGCTGGAATGGCAACGCCTCTACAATTGCAGTCGGTGTGCCTCTGTGTTTCTAGCGTGTAGGAGCCACGTAGCTTCTGACTTTTGTCTACATCGTGCCATTCAATGCAGCAACTGCAACTATGAGAATTGGATGTAGTGCTTCCACAGTCCACACCCGAACCGGTCTTGTCCGGTCTATAGGAGTGGCCACTTACCATAGGCAACGGGTGCAATTCAATTCAATATTTATGCAATCCCAACACTGACTGGCCTCATGTGCCATTTTGGAGTAGTCTGCTCCCGCGGTGAGTATTTAGAACCCTATGAGAACTCCACCCCCCCATTTCCTTCCTCCCTCCTCTTGTGTACCACTAGTAAATGCATATGAATGAGCATCATTAAGAGAACAAACAAAATAGAATCTCAACATCTGAGAAAAAATGAACAGGAATATACCTCCGCCTTTACTCTGCCTGCTTTCATAGTGTGCATGTGGGCTGTTATGGCACACGGGGATGTGGGCAGCTCGCTCTAAACCACAATCAGGGTGGCGAGCCTGGTACATGAGAGGCCCAGTAAAAGTAGAGTTGCAAGAACAAATGAAAGGGGCACCCAAAAAAGCCAAAGTGAACACAGTTAGGAAAGGGATTTAAATTTTGGCTTTTTCGGGTGCCACTTTCATTTGTTCGCGCAACTCTCCTGCGCCAACTGTTCAGAGGGTCAAATAGAGAAGCTGTTCCACTGTTTCCTCCAATGCCCCAAAATCAAACCCATATGGTTTAAGATAGTCCAGATATGGTCCTCAACAACCAACACAAACTTCACTATGAGCCCTACCCTTATTCTACTAGGTTTCACATCACCAGACGATTGGTCCCCTTTTCAAACCAATCTTTTCCAAATCCCGCGCAAGTCAGCACTATGGTCCATATGGAGAAAAAGATGCCAGGAAACGATAGACAAGCAACCAATGCACATGCAGGAAGCATGGAGTATCCTCAGACAACAGGTGGAAACGGAATACTGGGTCTTATGGCGCAAAGCCAAGAGGAAAATGAAAGCAAATGCACCTAAAGCCAAAGAAATCCAAACCAAATTTGAGGATAATTACCTCGCCAAGGGCAAGATAGCAACCGTCAAAGGCCAGGGCCTAATCTTTACAATGTGGAATGATACAGCACATACCACTAATTCAGAATCAGGACCATTGTTTACCCCACAGGATCCCTTGAGCACCCAGAACAATTCCTGCTAAAGCACCACAGGTTTCCATACCAAAGGCACACAACAAGCACAATCGACTTTCCCTCGCCCTAGCTAGACCAAACATCCCCCCCTCAACAACTTAGCCTCCTATGAGGACACTTTACAGGCTTTCACTAACAGGCTGCATGCTAAACATTAAAACCACACAGACCCCATCCCCAATATAAGGAACCTCACAGCCCTAACACCCCTTAAACCTCCCCCGACCCTTCTCTCCCCTCTTACACGCTACTAACCCCATCATCCCCCACACAAATCACCCTGAGCCCAACCCACCCCAGCCACAAATCCACACACCCGACCTCATCAGCCATCCAACCGCACACCCTAGACCTACAAACACCCATCAGCCCTTCCTCAAGCCTTTTAAACAGTACCGGCCCCACCACATAAAAAGCTCCCAAAAAGTCCTTTCTATCCAGCTAATACAGGAACAATTTAGGGTACGAGGTATAGACCATAAGACAGGTTTTCAAGTAAGGGTAAGCAGGACAGCTAAAACTGCTAGGTCTTAAGTTTTAGCACCAGGTAGATTTTATAAAAAGAAAAGACAACACAGAGAGGATAGAATTTAAGCTTACCCATAGGCAATTCCAACTAGACTGGAAAGGGTTTAGGGTTTATCGTGTCCTAAAAAGGACCACATCTACAGTTCTCGTATTTGAAGTGAATCTGACAGTCGAAGAGCTGAGAGGAACAAGTTAGACGCGACCTCCTGTAAGCAAGTCTACAGGGTCCACAGTACCGGTTTCGTTTCCATGTCTTAGGGTCAAAATAAAAGTATTCAGGCTAACTTAGGCAGGGGTGAGGGGTGGTAAATCCTTCTATCGAGAAGTAATCAATGCCGTCCCTCGGGCTTTCCTACCTTAAGGGGGAAGAGTGTGCGTGAGTCCTTTATGTAATTCTTTTGGCTTGCCGGTGGAGAAGGAACCGGACTGATGCTCCCCAGAATGGAAAAGGAGCCAGAACCACACGGTTCTGTTTTTGAAAAAAAAGAAAAAAAAAGAAAAAAACTTAAAAAAAGAAAAAAAAAGAAAGGGATTTAAAGTTTGAAGTTTAAACACTTCAATTTTGTTCCATGTTGCTTGCTATAGAGGTAAAACTGTTTCATTGTTGGATTGTCTCAACTCGTATTTTCGTTGTCTCCAACAGGACTAAAGCTGCTTCGATTTTGAACCTACTCATCTGGGTGGAATAGGGGCCACTGTGGTGAAAATTCAAATTTCACACACACACACACACACACACACACACACACACACACACACACACACACACACACACACACACACACACACACACACACACACACACACNCACACACACACACACACACACACACACACACACACACACACACACACACACACACACGCACGCAACAAATGATGTAAACGTTGTCGCAATGGCTGCAAGGGATGAAGTCCTGCATCGTGGCAATGTGGCGACAACCGCTACTGAAAGTGCACCGCCACCATTGCCGCCTCTGCCTCCGACGACATGCTTGCAACCGTACAGAAAGAGATCGTCACTCTAGATATACACTAGCCAGGAGTAGTACATATCGAGTCCAATGCCTGTGATGTGGCGATGATTTCTTCAGTGCTGCAGGCCTGCATGTGCACCAAACACAAGGTGCAGCTACCTGTGCAGCATTTGCAGGACTAGCAGCCACTTTGAGCGCAAGTGCGACTGATCAACCTCATCTGACCCATCTATTCCTCATCCACCTGACCTTGCATGCTCCCCTGCCTCAAATGATAATGATCCACCCTCTGATCACCTGCTGGAGAGTCTGATTCAAGAAGATCTCACTCCGGAGCGCATAATACAGCCGGAGGAGCCTGACAGAAATGGTAAAGACTGCAATGAATCTCCGCCTGCCGTGCAATCTGAAGAATTGGATGAACCTCCCCTTGCCGCACAACCTACAGAGTCGGATGATGTCATAGTGCTACAGCAAGGTCGCTGTGCGTACTATGCCATTAATGTGTGTGTCTCCTTGCCTACAATTGCAACCCTTGTACTGTTTCTGAGTTTGCAGACGTTGTCTGCTGGATAGAAGAAGAGCACTGTGCCGTCTGCCCAGAGGTCGACAGTACTTCACCTGGCGTGAACATAGAAGTCCTGTCTATGCATTTATGGGTAGGCGACTACAATTCCAGCCTGCTCTGCAAAATCACGTGCCAGGCATGGATCCAAATATTCAGGCATACATCTTACATCATCCAGGTCATTTCAATGCTCTTACCTTTGCGGATAAGTCATGGACCCTATGGGACAGTAGCGGTAGGGTGCACGCAGCGGGAAATATCAACTGTTTCTATCACCAAGCAGGAGAACATCACTCGGTCTGGCTCGTCCATCAGGAACAGTATGGCGATGAGCACTCGCAAGCACTACTACCTCCGAAGAGCAATCCGGCTGAACCACCTCCGCTGTGCATGGTCAGGCAGCATCCCCTTCCTGCGTGGATCAGACGGATTCTACCACGAACAGTGAAGAGACCCTCTCCAGGGGATGGAAATTGTGCCCTCCTCCCATTATGTCATCGCACAGGTACAGTCCGGTTAGCACATGCATGTGTTGCATACCGTATAGGTGCAGACCAGAACAAGAACCGACCTTTCAATACAAAGTATAAGATAGCACAGCGGAAGACTTAGATACCAGTGATCCGAACAATCAATGTTGTAATGCAGCCCTGAACATACATCAWYATYRTCGTTTCATAGTGTGAATGGGTCTGGCGCTTCACACAGGAAGACAGCTCCAGCCCAGAACATGCACAGACGAGGAGGAAGGGGATAGACGAAGAGGAGGGGGGAAGATGGGAATGTCGTCAACACCAAGTCTTCGGCACAAGCCCAAATAGTCCCTCGTCGAACTGTCTGAATCCCAAATGTCAAGTCTGGATCCAATGTCGTCAAGGCTCAAGTCACAACTTTGTCTCTCTCTGTCGTGGTCTGAGAAGTCAGGTGGCGAGAGGGTGAGAAGAGAAGGTGGACTTAGAAGAGGAAGAAGAAGAACTCTCTCTCTCTCTGTGTCCAGTAATCACCTGTGAAGTTGGCGCCTTGATGCAGGTACCACGAAGATGAAGCTGGAGCGATGGCACCACAGGTAAGTAACACTGGTCTCCGCCAGTCTCTCTCCCACTCTGCGATCTACTACCTACCAGCGCCCAGTTCTGAAGACTACAGCTACAGCTATGGCGCCCAGCGCCGAAGACTACAGCTAGCGCTACCACTACTGCCTAGCGCTGAAGACTACTGCAGCGCTCCTCCTGAGTGCTGCGGCCGAATCCTGAAGACTACCTCTGCCTACTGACCCCTTTCCTGCAGGGCGGGCCAGTCCTTTATAGTGCTGGCCCGTGCAGGAGGCTGGCCGTGCCAATGCTCCCCTGGCCTAGACCCTGCGGAAGCTTCCAGGCAAGAGCCTGGAAGTTCCCTGAAGTTTCCCTGTAGGGAAACAGGCTGGGGCCTGTAGGCCCTGTCAGAAGGAAGCTTCCAGGCAAGAGCCTGGAAGTTTCCCTGTAGGGAAACAGGCTGGGGCCTGTAGGCCCTGTCAGAAGGAAGCTTCCAGGCAAGAGCCTGGAAGTTTCCCTGTAGGGAAACAGGCTGGGGCCTGTAGGCCCTGTCAGAAGGAAGCTTCCAGGCAAGAGCCTGGAAGTTTCCCTGTAGGGAAACAGGCTGGAGGTCCGGGACGGGCCCTGCAGGGCCCGTGTGGCTGTACAGTATGCCACAGCATGGCATAGCCTCTGCTCCGAACACTATGAAGGGATGGTCGCTGTCAGCCTCTGCCACAAAAATTGTGATCCTTTGTCTTGTGCTTACCACCCCCACCCCTTGATTATTTGTCCAGCATGCCGTTGTGGCCTTGATCTGCCTCACTTGAATAATTCCGCACATCAGCCTTCTTTGCTGATGACATGTCAACAACATGCCATGTGTCATCAATGTTTCCAGGAAGCTGTCATAGGAAGTATGTGTCTCTACTACGTGCACTATCCCCGGTGCCATCAGCCGCCACTTCCTCTCCTGGTATGTCCCACATGCGGTGTTGGTCATACACCTACTGCGACCGCTGTCGGAATTCCTTCTTCCTTGCCCGACGAACGAAGGACACAGCAGCCTGAGGAGGAAAATAGATTAACATATGAACCACCTATAGAGCGCTGTATTGAAAGGTTGTCACAATGAGGGCGAGCTGTTGCAGACCAAATCCTGCAGCAGCTAAAACCCCTGGCTTTGGATCAATCCCGGTAATCGGTTGCCCATAGAGAGGGAATAAGTGCTAGGGAAACCCATGAAACCTGCTCAATGCCGCTTTGTGATGAAGCACCTGAGATTCGGCTAGCATGTGTTTTGCATGCCTTGTGTAGTGAGGATTATGAAGGGATAGCCCATGCGAGTTTTCGTTTTCATGCATATGATGACAGTCAATACTGCACTCATGTTTGGGACCCTGGCATGTCATGTCCAATTTGTAGACGGGCTGGAATGAAAATGCCTCTACATTTGCGGTCGGCATTCCTCTGTGTTCCTACCAGGTAGGAGCCATGCAGCTTATCTACGCCGTGCCATCCGATGCAGCAACTGTGACTGCGAGAATCGGATGCGGTGCTTCTGCAGTCCACAACCAAAACGGTCATGGCCGGTCTGCAGGGGTGGCCACTCACCATAGGCAATGGCTGCTCCTCGATTCAAAATCTCATGCAACCCAAACATTGACTGGTCTCATGTGCCATTCTAGAGTAGTCTGCTCCAGCGGTGAGTATCGAGAACCCTGTGACAACTCCACCTCTTAGTTCCTTCCTCCCTCCTCTTGTGTACTACTAGTAAATGCATATGAATGAGCAGCATTAAGAGAACAGACAAGATATAAGCTGAAGATCTGAGGAAAAATGAGCAGGAATATACCTCCTCCTCCTTTACTCTGCCTCCTTTCGTAGTGTGCAAGTGGGCCATTATGGCACACGGGGATGTGGGCAGCCCGCGCTCAACCACAATCAACGTGACGAGCCTTGTACATGAGAGGGACAGTAAAAGGGGAGTTGCAAGAACAAATGAAGGGTTACCCCGAAAAAGCCAAAGTGAACACAGTTAAAAAGGAGATTTAAACGCTTCTAGTATGCTCCGTATTGCTTGCTATAGAGGTAAAAACTGTTCCATTGTTGGATTGCCTCAACTCAAGTGTTTTCGTTGTCTGCAATAGGACTAAAGCTGCCTTGATTTTGGATCTACTCATCTGGGTGGAACAGGGGCTATTGTGGTGAAAATTCAAACCACACACACACACACACCACCATCACCACGATATACCCCGCCTACATCTTCTACCACATCATCCTCTTAAGAAAGGGATAGAATCGATCTATCGTGTCCATGTTGCTTGCTATCGAGGTAAAACTGTTTCATTGTTGGATTGGCTCATCTCAAGTGTGCTTCATTGTCTGCAGTAGAGGAAGAGCTGCTTTGTTTTTGGATGTACTCATCTGGGTGGAACAGGGGCGGTTGTGGTGAAAATCTATAACACACAGCATCCTCGGTGGCCATGCACTGTTTAATCAACATTGGGGCTATCAGCACATTGACATGCTGCCTTATCTATCCTTCGCACTCAAAGCACACAAATCTCTACCAGCTCTTCGACAATCCTTGGAGTCACTCAGCAAAACAATATTTCCCAGTTTGCACCTCACTTAAACTCATCACCTTCAGTCTCGGACCTGGATAACAGGCCCTCTCACAAACCGCTTGCAAGCACAACAATGACCTCTCGCTCACTTAGCTATGCTCTCCCAGGCGTGATCAGGTCATTATGCAGTAAGGATAATGAGGTTATCAAGAAAGTAGCATACGACGCTGCTGGATTGCAGAAAGTGCCGATGATTTTGGATCTTAAGCAAAATGCGCATTCCCTTGACTCTTCGAGGTTGTACGCCACACACAACGGATTTACAATGATGTACATTAACCTGCCTCATGACAGGATCCTTAACAATGTGCTAGATCCTGTTCATGAAGCACCTGATTATGCCTTGGCGCTGATTCCACAGGATAGGATGTTGGCAAAAATGTACATGAAAGTGGGAGGTTCTTATCATGGGAAGTGGATTGCTGCACATGGCTCTGACACTCTCTCGATGTCAGATATAGAACAGCATCTGCGGTTTGTGGTCTCTAACACTTATCTCTATGCAGTGGATGACATGCTGCATCATCAGTAGTCAGTATCCCTGTGAATACTAATGCAGGACCAGAAATTGGCAATCTCAGCTCTATCGGGATGAGACACAGTTTATCAATGAACTTCCACAGTGAGATCTAGCTCAAGCATATGCATTCACGTATCGGTTCATTGATAACATCCTTTCTTGGAAGAAACCTCCACCCGGTATGGTCGTGAGTGGAAAGACACTACTTAGCAAGATGTGTCATGTCTCGTCCACGGGGCAAGGGTCTCGGTTTGGCCAGATGGATCACTTCACATTCATGTGTTTGACAAGGCTGAGGCTTGGGCATTCCTTGTCATATGCTATCCCAGTGCTTCCTCCAATTGCCCCGCCTCATCAGCCCTCAGGTATGCTTAGAGAATATTTGTAACAATACTATCGACTTCAAAGCTGCAGTGAGTTCCTCGACACGATGTATGCTCGTTAGGGCCATCTCCCCAGTGTCCTGGCAAGAGGTTGGACTGCTTGTGTGTGTGACCGGTAGTGTTGGATGTGTGGCAAGGTGTGCTGGTCAATTGCTCACCCACTGCGAGTTAGCTGGGGCTTCTTATTCGGTTTTTGTCATAATCAGTGCCAATTTTGAGCATAGGCAACATCAATCGTCCACTTTGGAGTGAAGGCAAAGAGCACAGAACCCACTCTGGAAGGGCAGTGCCAGCTTCCCGGAGAAGAAGTAACCTCCAGCGTGAAGAAGAAGATAACTGCTGACTGGAAGAAGAAGATATGACAGCGCCTAACTCCAACAGCACAGATATGGCAGGGCCAGGCTCCAGCACCTGAAGCACGAGCGGCAGTGCAGCGCAAATGGCTAGCAGTCGCCTCCCAGCTGTGGCGCTGCTCCGGCAACCTGGCGGCATCAAGAGCAAGTCCAAGCAGTGTTTTCCCTACTGCTGACCAACATGTCCAAGACCCAGACCTTTATGAACTTTCTCTATTTATAGTTCTAGACCAACCTACTGGACTGGACTCCTAAGACCCAGGACCCAGCAAACAGTCATGAGCCTGACCTTTCCAATAGCGAAGGGACAGTCAAAACCAGTGTGGGCCTGTCCTTTCCAGTAGTGAAAAGTCACTGGCCCCCGTTCAGCAGTGAGGAGTCACCAGTCTCTTGCAGTCACGAAGAGTCGCCAGTCCTCTGCAGTTCCGAAGGGTTGTTTTGAGCCTGGTCAAGGTGTAGTACAAGTAGCACTGGTTCTGTCATTAATTTTTGGAAATTTACAGAAATGTCCCTGTTTGGGTTATGTTTGTCACAGGTACCGGTTAGGATCCAGAACTCAAAGAAATTACAAAAATGACTCCGTTACAGTTAGAGCCTGCTGAAAATCTGCAATTTCATTGCACATCAGGTTTCCGTGAGCAACGTTGTTCAAATTGCAGGGTGCGGTGAGCAGGATGGGTGTTGAAAAGAGAGAGAGAGAGAGAGAGAGAGAGAGAGAGAGAGAGAGAGAGAGAGAGAGAGAGAGAGAGAGAGAGAGAGAGAGAAGCTATCTCAGAGGAGGAGAAGGTGGAGGAGGAGGCGGCATAGGAAAGCATGTCCCTCGCAGATCCCTGACAGATCAAGGTACGCTAGCCTGTCTCAGTTTCTTGAAAAGAAATTGGAAAAATCAGGTGTCGCCATGGGAAATAAAAATGAAAGAGAAAGAGAAGAAAGAGAAGAAAGAGAAAAATGAGCCATGGCCAACTTTTCTTTCGAAAATAGCTTCAGAAACAGCTTGAAAATCCCGCATTCGATACAGACTCAGAATGGAGCATGTTCCTGGACGAGTTTCAACCGGCTGCGCTCTGGTGCAGGGGGCAAACCACTTACTAAACCTTGCAGCTTATGCCTCGCTATTCAAATTGAAAAAAGGTGGCCTGTCAGTTCAATGATGATATCTCAAGGCCG